TTCAAACTTGAAACAAATAACGAGAGTATTATTTCACGACTTGTCAAGGATAAAGATCTTCCACTATAACATGATAATGTGTTACTTCATTTTTTGTGGTAGTGTTGGTGTTGACCTCGGAAATTGGACCCTCCACGTGGCCAACCGATAGCCACTCCACGTATTCCTCCCTGCGCACAATCAACGCACGGTTAGATGCACACGGTCAGAACCAGCGAGGGTGGCGGCGGCCGTATACACTCCGACGGTCAAGTTAGGTTCAGGTGATCTGAACAATACCAAGGTTGTGCAAAATAGTGAGGAGGAGAATATATATATTTGCTTGCTATGGAGTGCTAAGTAGTAAGAGTTTCATTACCTTTGCCTCTTGCGAAGTCTTGAGTATTTATAGGTGAGAAGAACCGTTGGATGTGTGACACGTGTATACATCTGAACGGTATGAGACGTCTGCTCATAGGCGTCAATCAGTCGCGTCTATAGAGTGGGCGGGTAATTACTTCTCTCGAGTTGAATTGACATAAAGTTGATATGTTACATCAACTAGCCTCATGGAGACTTCAAATCACTTTAAACCTCAGGGGTAGAAAAAGATCTTGATCAAGATCTTATGAAATTGGCGACGGATCCTCTGATCGAGGTCATCGGAGTGCATTTCGCCTCGAATTCAAGGGCAAAGACACTTCGGTCAGTCCCGCAGGATTCTCTATGCCTATGCCTCATAGTGTGATAGCAGATCATCACCATTGGTGAAATCACTTTGGAATCACTTTGAATGAGTGTTCCACACCTCGCATGATGTGGTGGTGGACTTTCCGAAATGGTTGAGATAGGGGCGTAACAGTTGGCATGCTATATCTATATAAAACATTGATTTTTTAATATAAAATTTTATATATATAAATTAGGATTCTAAAATATTTTTTTAATTAAAATTGAGATGTTTTAAAGATAATTGTTAATTCTTATTTATTTTAAACTAAAATGAATTATATTCTTTAATTCTATTTATAAGTTATCAACTTATCCTAGCTCATTTAAAATATTGATTTTTAATGGAAATAGGTGTATTCTATTCTTATTATTATTATTTTAGTGGGTATTCTTTTAAATAGGATATTAATAACATCCTAACCGTTTAACTAGTATTCTACTTCCTTTACTGTCCAGACCATAATCCCATAGAATTCCTTTTTGCCTATCGAACTCTGTCCTACCTTAAATGCTATTTTTACTGAATCTTTCCGAAATTCTGTGTTAATCTTACCCCTAAAATCCTCAAATCTTTCGAAGCACAGAGAGAGCCGATTTACTTCCGCAATTATTTATGTATCGATACACTTAACAAAGTAAAGTGTAATTTATTCTTGATTTATTTTCGAGCCCAACAGGTTTGATATAGGGGTTTTCCAATCGATTCAGAAAAAGCTAGAGAGAATGGCGAGTCCTGTCAACGTTACTCAAGTAATCGAATTTAATTCAAAGGAAAATTGTATGTATATGTGCATGCATGTTATGTAATCGTTTTATTAAATTTTTGCAGTCTTGAGATTGATTTGTTCCTTTGGATGATTAGGTGGGATCGTATTTTGTTCGGCAGTATTATCAGGCGTTTCATCAACAAAGGGATATTGTGCATCAGTTTATTGTTGACAGTTCTATGATTAGAATCGATGGGGATTCAAGTGAATCCTTTTCGGGAAGGGCAATGAGTATCTTTTCGAAATACGAATTTTGATTTTGGATTTCAATTATTTCTTGTTAGATCGGATTAAGGTTATCGTATTGATTCAGTTACAATATTTGTCATGACAGAAATAATATAGGGTCATGACTCATGAATGCTTAATGTTTTTCATTATTATTAACAGATATCATCACTTAAATCAATGCGCTCCTCAATTCACATATTAATGGACGCAAGGACCCACTGCTACCTAAACCGTTAATAATCTTTAGTAATGATGATTATCATCATTTGTCACGAATGCAATAAACTTAATGTCATTTGGGTAATTTTTTCAGCGTGTTTTTGCTTCACTTTCTTTATATACTTGTAATTCCTGTCGTTTAACATTATCGTTAGGCATATTTTTGGCTATGAAATTTCAAGAGCAAAATAAATTACCATTAAAGTAGTTGCAATGAATCATTAAGCATAACAAATTGGGTTTGCATGGAATTCCATGTGTTAATATGTTCAACAAATCTTAGTTACTAGTGAAGTAACCTTTTGAACGTAGTTCCTCGTTATTACCATGCTTGTTAATCATTGATACTTCTTTGTAATTTACTTGCTGCATGATACATTAACAAATAAACAAGCAAGTCTTTCCTTCTTTATGTTTTTCTTTCCCTACTTTATGGATAAGTTTTTTATTTTTCAAGAGATATATTTATGATTCTGTCTGCAAGTACTTATACTATAAGAATCTTGCTCCCTGATTTTTTACCCTTCCATATTTTCTGTTCTTAGTCTAACAATCTGTTCTTAGACTTGTATTCAAGGGACAGTCATCCAACCATAAGAAAAAATAAAGAAAGAGAAAAAAAGAAAAATGAAGTGCCACATTTTTTGCACAGGACTTTTACAGATAGAAAGTCTCAATGAATTCATGTAGTAAGTGGTTTGAATGCATAAAACAAATGGGTAGGCCTTAGAATATTTCGTATTATGATTATTTTGCCACTGTTTCAAGATGAAGTGCTCTCTTATATCCAATTATTCAAGGGTCTTTGTATCCTAAAAGAACCATCTCGTCTTTTACTATCCTTTATAGATATTATTATCGTGACATGAGGATTTCTACCCCAACATGTTGCAGCTTAGAATAAGCAACAAGTTTTCTACTCTTTCTCATGCCGCTAGCTAATGGATTCATGGACCAGTCATGTTTGGATGAAGTTTCTGCATAGGCTTTTGATGTTATGACTTTTAATTTGTGCTCTGGGAATTGTTGTACTCTGTTTAAGAAGAATAATTAACATTCTATCTATATTTTCATCATCCAAACAACAATAAAAGGAAATATTAGTCATTTCGTCAATATTAAATTGTTGGCCTACGGTTGACTTCTCGTTTTGATTATAACAAACATATTTTATTTAACAATTGTGTTTAAGTAATTATAGAAGTTTACGATAAGCGGAGCTCTTACAAGTTTGGACAAAGTGGAAATCAAGTTACATATCAAGACTACGATCACTTCAAGAAGAAATTAGAAGAAAATATATTTAGACACCTTGATTTCAAATGTTAAGGTAAAACACTTTAGTATTTGGCATATACGTCATTTGAAACTCAAGCAACGTTTCTTCGCACGACAAACACGATTTTTGCATAAAGAAAAGCACGAACCTATTACATACTTTTAGACATGTCAAAAAGTCCATAAAACATATTAGAAACATCCTTCACGAGTTTACATTTTGCCACATCATTTAAAGAAGGAAAAATCCAAAAATATGCCGATCTAGAGGACGCATCCGGTAGCTCTACCGGACGAGTCTGGTAATTCTAGCGGACGTCCGGTATGACAGGTTTGTCCAACGGTCAAGAAATCGAACGTTCTAACTTCTGAACAAAAAATGGTTAGTTGACCATCTGGTATGATAGCGGACGTCCGATAGCTTCGTCCGGTAGAACAGAACTTTTGACCGTTTTTATTGCTATAAATACTAGATCACTTTGCATTCAATGAGGGACTTTACATGAGCATTTAAAGTGAGACATCATTAATCTATCACCTATATACATCTATTTTTTCAATCTATTTATTAGAAAAACATTTGATTGATCCAACTTTTGAAAATCATTCTTATCAAAGTGTTTTTCTTTTATAACACTTGAGCTTCAATCGTTGCTATCTACTAAAGTGTTAGCCATCTTCTCTTGTTGTATTCAACTTCAATTATATCATTTATTGCAAGAGAAATTTTCACTTGTATACTCCTTATCTTTCAAACTTGTGGGTCGAGTTGAAGTCCCGAAAATTTCAACATTGTAAAGGAATGGTGCTCCTTGTTTGTAAGTCACCGAAAGCGTTGTAAGAAGGTTGGATTGCACCATAAGTCAATCAATATAGTGAAAAAGGGCTTGCTCGTGACAGAGAGTTTGGTAACGGGGAACGTAGATCGTGATTGAATTGAACCTCCTTATTGCATCGTTTGCACTCTCTTTTCCATTCCTCTTATTACTTTTGTGTTATCTTGTTTATTCATAGTTATTTGTTTAAATTTGCGCTTATATTCGAAAAAGGATCGAATAACCAATTCACCCCCCTCTTGGTTAATTGTCTTGGGCTTTCAATTGGTATTTGAACTTGATACTCCTTTTTTTTTTTTTTTTTTTTTTTAATTCTACAATCTTGAGTAATGGCTAACCAAGTTTTTCAAAATAGTGAGGGGCACTCTACAAACCGACCGCCATTCTTTAATGGTACCCATTATAACTATTGGAAGGTTAGGATGATGATATATGTTCAATCTATTGATTACAATATTTGGGAAGTCATTGAATATGGTCCATATGCTCCCACTAAAACTATTAAGGTAGATAGTAGACCGACCAAACTCTTCCCAAATCTAGAGAAGAATATGATGATGAAGATAAGAGAAAACTATCATTAAATGCCAAGGCTGAAAATCTATTTTATTGTGTACTTGATAGAAATGAATTTAATCGAATTAGTACATGTGATTCGGCATATGATATTTGGCATGTTCTTGAAGTCACTCATGTTGACACAAGTAAAGTTAAGGAAACAAAGATAAATATGCTAGTTAAAGAATTTGAAAATTTCTTTATGAAACAAAATGAGCCTATTGTTGATATGATTACTCGTTTTACTGATAATGTAAATGGTCTTAAAGGTTTTGATCTTAAATTTACTAACGGTGAACTTGTGAGCAAAATGCTTAGATCCTTATCAGAGGAATGGAGTCCATTGAGGATGTTGATCGAGAATACTAAGAATGTAAGTACATATCCTTTTGAATAGCTCTACGGCACATTAATGACCTATGAGCTAAATAATGACGAGGTTAAGGAGAAAACGAGAAAAAGCAAGGAGGAATCAAAGGAACCTCCTAAACGACAAATTGCATTAAAATCGGCAATTGAAGAAGGAACATCAAATGAAAATATAAGCGATGAAGAACTTGATGATTTGGTCCTTCTTGTCAAAAAATGGAAGAGCTTTCGTAATAATCTAAGATTCCAAAAGAAAGAAGAAAAAGGGGAAGATAGGAACAAAAAGATTATTTGTTATGATTGTGACAAGCCGGGTCACAAGAGAATCTAGTGTCCAAACAAAAAGAAAAATTTTAAAAAAAAGGCACTCTAAGCCACATGGGATGATAGCGACGACGAAGAACAAAATGGAAATAGTCAAGATGAAGTGGCAAATATGTGCTTCATGGCAATCGAAGACGAGGTATGTTCTTATGACGAGCTCTCAATTTCTTATGATGAAATGTTTGAAAAATTTGAAAAACTCGCTTTAAATCATGTTATTCTTAAAAAGAAAAACTCTATTTTAAAAGAAGAAATTAAGAAAATTTTCGAAAAGCAAAGAGAGAATATTGATCATGACCTTTTAATAAAAGAAAACATTTCTTTGAAAGAAAAGGTAAATGATTTAACACAAATTATCCATAAGTTTATCGAAGGTAAGAAAAATTTTGATTTAATGCTCGGGAGTCAAAAGTGTGTTTTTGATAAAGTAGGAATTGGATACAAACCCTCTTTAAAACAAGAATCACTCAAAAATATGTTCGTTAAAATTTCAAATATTTCATGTAGCTTTTGTAATAAAAGTGGACATATTGCTTTTAATTGTATAACTAAAAAGAAATTGTTCTTTGAGAACAAATACAAGTGGATAAAGAATCCACAAAAACTAACTATCAAGGACCCAAATTTGTGTGGGTACCAAAAGTCAAAACTTAATTTGTCTTTGTAGGTACTAAAGAAAATAAAAAGTAAATGGTTCTTGGATAGTGGATGCTCGAAGCATATGACCGGAAACCGATCATTATTATCAAACTTCCAAGAGAAGGATGGAGACCATGTAACTTTTGGAGATAACGCCAAGGGTAAAATAATAGGCTTTGGAAACATTGGTAACCACTCTTCCCCTTCTATCGAAAATGTTTTACTTGTTGATAATTTTAAACATAATTTGCTAAGCATTAGTCAATTATGTGACAAAGGTTATAATATAAAATTTCATTCTTCCAAATGCCTTATTAAGGATCTACATCGAAAGAGGTGATTTTTATAGGAAGTCGAAGTAAAGATGTTTATATTATAAACATTGAATTGGAAAATAATGAAAAATGTTTACTTAGCTTGAAAGAAGAATCATGGTTATGACATAGAAGACTTGAACATGTAATCATGGATCTTCATTCAAAAAATTTCAAAAATTGTTTTGTAAAAGGTTTAGCGAATTTAAAATTTGAAAAAGATAAAATTTGTGATGCTTGTCAATTTGGAAAACAAGTAAAAAGTTCTTTCAAACCAAAAATTTACACTTCAACCATAAAACCATTACAACTTCTCCATATGGATCTTTTTGGACCTTCTAGGACGGCTAGTTTAGGAGGTAAACATTATGCTTTTGTTATTGTCTATAATTTTTCAAGATTTACTTGGGTTATATTTTTAAGCTTAAAAGAAGAAGTTTTGAAAACTTTTAAATATTTTTGTAAGAAAGTTGAAAATGAAAAAGGCTATTCCATTTCAACTATTAGAAGTGACCATGGTGGAGAGTTTGATAATGTTGGGTTTGATGATTTTTGTAAAGAACATGGATATGAACATAATTTTTCGGCTCCTAGAACATCTCAACAAAATGGTGTAGTAGAAAGGAAGAATCGCACATTACAAGAAATGACTCGATCTATGTTAAATGAAAATAACTTGCCTAAATTTTTTTGGGCCGAAGCCATTAATACCGCTTGCTACATTATCAATAGAGTATTAGTAAGTAAAAGGAAAACCAAAACTCCTT